ACCTTGCTGCCTCCACCAGGATGTCTTCTTTCAAACGAGCTTCCATTTGCTCAACCCTTTCTCTGTTAATTCCCTGATAAGTACAGAATGCCCCACAAGTTAACGGACTCAATTCAACCCAACTTGTAACGCTAAATTGAAAGCCAGCACAAAAACTTACGTGTCCCGAAACTACATACCGTATACTCAAGGTTGGAGAACGGCTTCTCCACATCACGCAGAACAAAAGGACGACCATTAATGTAGGCAAGCTGATTCCAAGAAAGGAAGGAAATAAAAGTAAGGAGAAAGCATTATCACAAACATCCATCATCAAACTAACAATACTTAGCCTAAACTCAAGTACTCGTGCAACACAAGAATTAGTTTCAAAAACCTAAACTCCTTGAAGTCAGCCATAGGTTAAATTAAAATTAAAATATAACACACCGGTTCCTCACGAAGGCTAATCCAGAGAACTTTCAATCCAGCACCAATGTGGTTGAGAACGTTCCGAATTCCATCAATGGTTGGAATGGCAACACCGTGAACATGCAACGAGTCCGATGCCTAACCATAACAACAACATTAACTACCTGATTAAATTTTTCTGAAGGAACAAAAAAAAAAGAGAGGAAATGGATGAATTGACAGAAGATGAAAAGACGAAGAAGACCTACCTGACGATAATTGGGAGCGCCTTCGATCTGAGGCGACAAACGCTTGTTCTGGCAACCAGGGAAATGGTCGCTCTTGAGAATCGTTCTCTTCCCCAACACACCTCCTCCTCTCATCTTCATCACCTGCTCCGGCTCCTTCAGTATCTGCGACATCGAACCAACTCACTCACTTCTCTTCCAATTGCAAATCCAAACGCCCAACTCTTCACCACGCTTCTTGTTTCTTTCTACCCCTCACACAAACAACACTCGTTACACTTGCAGCTGATTTTCTCTCTCTACCTCCCGCGGCTTTATCTCATAGCTTCTTTTCACTTTAAGACTAACTCAATTTCTGAAACCAACACCAACAACGTGAAAGACGTGAGCGAGTGAAGAGTGACGAAGAAAGGCGTGTGAGCTCAATGTGATCGAGCTCGCAAACACGAATCTTCCCCGATTTTATTTCTTTGTTAATCAACCTGTTTAACGTGTTAGCTTTTATTTAATTCTTATTAACATTATTGCCCTTATAAAATTAAAAATATAAAAGCACTTTTTTATCTTCCGAAGCCATTCTTATTTCTCTCAGGCTGCATTAATGCTTAACTTATAGCTTATGCTGTGGATATTCTCTTCCCTCCATGTCTCTGTTGGCAGCACCATGCGCTTTCTCTCTCCATCTACCGTACCACCTTTTTCCTTCTCAACGACCCATTTTATATTCACCACACAAAAAATTCTCACCTACGCAAATTAATTTCGAAAAGGAATAAAACATACATTCATAACTTCTGGATAATGCTACATCTCAACAAGCTAGCTTATAAATTAATCAAAATTATTTTCAAATTATTAAACTCACTAGCCTTTTCTTATAAGCCACTAAAAAATAATTAATACGCACACACGTGACAGAAAAATCCACAAATTTTAAATTTCCACCAGTTGGACTATTCCATTAATATATATGTGTGTGTGTTTATACATGTGGCCGAATGACTAGTCATTAACTATATAAAATACAAAAAATCAAATCAAAATCGATTAAATTAATCAGAGCAAATAAAAATGGGAATAAAATATGCTTGTATTTTCCAAAAACAACACTTTAAACTGTTAACTTCGTTTAAAATGTTTTTAAGATAAACAAAAGTTCATACTTAATAAGGTTTATAAGTTGGTATACATTATATATATATATATATATATATATATATATATATATATATATATATATATATATATATATATATATATAAAGTAAAATAAGCTTTTGTAAAAGTAACGCGATCCTCCAACAAATCTTTTATTAGAAGTCTCCCGCTTTACATAACTAACTATCCTCGCCACTTTTTTGTTAAAGAAATTATTTATGATGGAATTAAACTCAATTCTTTTGATTTCAAATTTTCAATTCCGGTTTGAAACAATAAGTTTTGATGAAAAATATTTCAAAACGTTGAATACGATAAACTCAACCCAATATAACTAACTCCATTAAGAATAAGTTCATTCGAATTAAGTCTACTAAAAAAATCATTTTTTTATTGGGTTAAAATGAAGGATTTGCTTAAACCCACGTCATTCATATTCAGAAAGGTAGATAATATAAAAGGAATAAAGAAACGTGGAAAAAATGGCAAATTAGTGGGCCCCAAATTAGTAGGTACAATGGTCAACCACACAATTTAGAGGGCCCAGCAAACATTCGTCAATTATTTTCTCACAATAATATGATAAAAAAAATCTAAAAACTTAAAAAAAATAAAAATCTGCACATGGCTATGGAACAAATCTTGAGGGAATTGTTTCTGTATTATTCCAAATTACCATTTACCAACTAATAGAAATATTTATATATGTATATAAATTTATGTTTTTCTCTTATTTTTTTTATGTGAAATTTTTATTTTTATCTTAAATAAATTAAAAGTACGAACATACAAATGGTGGATATTTCTCTTATCTTGTAAATTTAGAATTGAATTTAAACTGTTTGTTTACCTAATTTAGATCATGGTTGTATTTTTATTTGCAAAAAGAAATTAGTTAGTTCTGTTGTGTATGAGACGAGAGATGCAAACTATCTATAAATAATAACACATGGCAAATAAATAATGCGCGTGTGAAAGGTAATGGAAGTAAATAAATTAATGGAAAATTGTAGAAAGAGAACGTGAAAGACATGGTGGAGAGCAACTGGTTTATATAATGACTCTGAACTGGTTTCACCGTAAAGAATATTGAGAAATGGATGCTTACACACAAATGACAGAGCTTTTCTGAGGTGAAGTTGGGATTTACTTGGAATTAATTAATCTCTTAACAACCCATTTCGTGTGTTGTTTCAAGAAAGGAGCGTGATTTGGATGCAGCACACAGATTCTGTCACTACCTTTACGCCCTCTTTTAGGAGCATTGTTCCATCGGTTTCATTCTTTATTTGAGAAAGCAACGTGTGTAAAAGATAGTGAAAAAGAAAAGGTAGAGACAAAAACAGGTGTCACGTCACTCTCATTCTTTCAAAGGTTGTGCTATTATGTATCCTATTCATGGCAATTAGCGAAAAATGGTGGGAGTCTGTGAAGAGTCACGCATAGGGAAGTGGCATGATATGGTGTTAAAATGAGGTAGGTTGCGTTGCGTGAGCAGGAAGAGGTGTTGGATGATAGTGCGTTGTGGAGATGTAGCGTAGGAATTATTGAGGAGTAGAGAGAGCTTTTTTGTTAAGTTGTCAACTTCATTTCCCTATGCATGCATTCAGAGTCAGTCACGCTGTGTCATATTTATCTGGATAACCCACGGAGACAACCACACATGCACATCTAAACATCTTCTCAACCACCATTAGCTTTTCGACCTGCTTCCTATACACATTTAATACTGCTGTACCACTTTTCGATCTAAGAAATTAAAGAAGATTGTACTTTATACTCTATACGTTTGAAAGGACGGTGGTGCAGAACGTCTTTTTATGCCTTGATTTACGAGAGAACGAAGTGGATTTGTAAGATAATCTCGTAATTCCATCTTGTTAAAATTGTGAAATTTTGCGATTATAAGATGTACTTTTATCGTTTTATCTCTGAAAAATATCTTTCGGACATCTAAAACTTTTACATTTATTTAACACATTCTAACTTCTTTTTTAAAAAATACAAAATTTTACGCTTTTATAATTATTTTACTCTTATATATTATGTCAAATAAATATAAAAGTGTGTCAAGATACTGTCTATCACCTCTATCTATTTATGTGACTGTTGAGTGTGATAAAGGATGTTTGATAGAATGAAAAATAAAGGAAAATATTCTCTATCATATCTAAATCTTTTACATTCTTTTAACACTATCTTTATTTACTTTTTACTTTCTTCTTTTTCAAAAGATATAAAACTTTACACTAATACAAAACCATACACTTTTATAACTATTTTATCCTTGTACTCTAATAAATTCCTCTGTGAAAAATTCGGTTGTGTGTATAATAATATAAATGTATATATATTTATATAATAATAATAACATATGTATAATATATATATATATATATATATATATATATGACATTTTACTTTTTATCTGAATTTAAATTTAAATTTTGTTTAAATATGTAAATTTAGATAATTTTATTAATATTATATTTTAAATTTTTTATTTTTTATTTTTTATTTTTTATTTTTCAATTAAAAAATTACTTATAAAATAAATAAAAACTATCTATATTTAATTATATAATTATAATAATAACAAATTATTTTTTATTATTATAAGAAAAAAAATAAACACGCATGCTAGGCATGTATTTTCCACTGGTAAATAGTAGGTTAATCTACTTATGGGATAAAGTCTAAAATACTTTTTTTCTTCTACTTGTATTTTTCTTAGGTTTGAAATAAATTTTAAGATTGGTATGAATCTTAATATTTTTAATTAATTTTTCGTTTAAAACCTTTTTATTTAATGAATATTCAAAATTTGTATTGTTTCTAATTAAATTACCAATCACAAATTTCACATTTTTTAATGAGATAATAAATAAATAACGTCAATCACATCATCAAATAAAAAATAAATAAACAAAAACTCATAATTTTTTTTAATACTCAATAAATTAAAACAAATTAATAATACCTTAATTAAAAATATACAATTTTCTCAAAAGCTTAAAATTTAATTAAATAACAAATACTTAATCAAAAAATATAAAAATTTTAAACACTCGGTAATCTAAGAAAAAGTTAATAGTCATTCAAATCGATCAAATACTTAAAACTTAATTAAGTATATTTTCAAACAACAATTTGAAAACCAATTTGACCCCATAAAAAAACTTAATTAAGTATATCACCATTAAAATTAACATGACTTTGAACATGGTAATCATAAAAATAGCGTGGTTCAGCCTACAGGAAACATTTAGTGCAGATTTTCCGATTTCAATACCCATACATATATATAATATAATTGTCAAGGTAACGTATTTACATTCAGAATGAAACAGCAGCGCCATCATCCATATCAATCACCTCTCTTACGAGGTTTTTGGTAGACGGCAAACCAGCAGTTACCTCCTCTTCAATCCCGCATTCGTTTGTCCCCCTTCGGATCTTGAAGTAACCATCCTGCGATTAAGATTAAACTAGTCCATTAGCTAAGACACATCTTAAGTAACAGATATTCAAGCTGATGAATAAATCAAGAAACATACATCTCCCCATTCTCTGTTCCACTGATTTGCGAGAAGCTGAAACAATGAAAAGTACCGAATCAGTATAAAAATCTGAATTTCAGATACTATACGCCAGGCCCCAGGCGACTGAAATGTGCATCAAGAACATATCAACATACCCAATAGTCAACCCCATCATCAGTTGTTCCCCAACCAATTAGCTTCACTGCATGACCGCCGAGTACATAACCTGTGACGTGTTTGTAAACTCCTGACTTGTAGTGAGCAAAATCCTGTGAAGAGGTCCAATTAGTAAAAGGTTAACTTGTCTTAAGCAACCAACCAAACTGCTCAATATGCTTGAAACTATTCACACAAGAAAACAAAGGCTAACGTAATCTTTATGTTTGAGGTCTAGACACTACATGAAAAATGATGCAGGTAATAGTCACGGATGCTTTAGTTCATTGAAAGGTCACTGGCAATGACGAGCCCTTCGAAATGTTTTAAAAGGAAGGATGCTATAATATATTCAAGTCCTGCTCGAATGATGGGGACAAGAAAGTGACATAAGAAGTTGTAGTTGCATGTAAGAGACCAAACAAGAAATAAATGACTCCTAAAGGTTAATGCTTTTAATAAAGAGAATCCAATGACTCAAAAATCTGCTAAAGGGGATTAATAGCTAGGGTGTGACCAATGCAACAATAGGGCCAGGTTGTTGTAAGGCCTGTTCTATTTTTGGTAAGCTAAAATTGTATATCCATCAGTTCTGATAGATTATACTAGTTTCTGATTTAAAATTACTTTCTACCCTAATGTCAATCCACAACCTAAAGTCCAAAAGATGACAACTGCCCCCATTTTTGTTCTGATAGAGAGAGCAACCAAATAAAGGGGGAAAGAAAGAAAAAGAATAAATCTTTAATGTTGAACCATTTTTTTTGTTAATGCATAACTCACTCCGTATTTTAGCAGACTGAATGCTAAGAAATGAATCCTAATACGAAAACCCTTGCACACAATCCTTGTCCTAATATGATCCCTTAATGAGCACCATATACCCTCGAAAAGCTTACTACTTTTGAGTATTAATCAACTGTAGGAATGGAATATGATCTTAGTTTACTCAGTATTTTTGGTCCAAGACCTTTACCATGTTATTCATACGACCATACGCATTTTATTCCACCTTTTTCTCATTTGAAATTTGATATTCTATCTTTATCTGTAAACATTAAACTTAAACCCTCCATGAAAGCCAGTAGCTCCAGACATATGCGCGAGTGAGAACCAGCCCCAAAGGAACCATTAAGGAGGAGTATAATATACCACCGAAGATGAGAGCAATGACACCGACTAGCTAATGCTGGTGAAAGTAAAGGGATTGATCAAAAGCAACTGACCCCATCAGCACAGACATTAGCCTTATCAAAGAAAACTAGGGCTACGTACATGATTTGCAAGTTTAAGGAGCAAACTTAAAAGATAGGTAAATATGGAAAACATATATATGGACTTTAGAGGCACCCACAAAAATGAGCATGACACAGCTCAGGAATGCGTGAAGATCTATGAAATGATGAAATACACAAAATGAACAACATATAGACAATGAGAGACTTGCGATTGAGTATGAAAAACCCAAAACACAGGAAAAGAAAAATTCCCCGCTGGTGACGTTTGGGGAAGTTAATTATAAAATCTCGGTGTAGCTAAAAGTAAGCACCAATGCCAATATGACCATTAAGGAGAAAACATAATAAGGAAAAGTTCATAATAAAAATTGAAAATCGCCATGTTATAACAGATTTTTTTTACAGACTATAAACCCAACAACTTTATTACCCACTAATTATCACTCCAGTCCATTTATCTGATCCCCAACCATTCTCCCATAACATATCTTCTTTAAACTTTTATACCCAAAAGAATCCTCAATCGTATCATATTCAATTTGCAAACCCACTCGATGCCGGTACCATATAGTCGGCAGGCCCAATTAAATGTTATACAATATTAAGAGGTATTTAGCATGTTCATATCAAAAGAGCTGTTCTGTTTTGTACAACATCGTCTGATTAGAGCCTTTTAAGCAGCATTTCTGTGATTAAACCAGGACTAAATAGAAACTCCGAAATCCGATTTAAGTCATTTTGAAAATCAAGGTTCTTTTAACACTTTTTATCCGTTTGTGAAAAAAATTGTAGCTTTAAAATCATTTACAACAAATTATCTCCACCCACTACTTTGTGTCATTTAGTTCTGATTTTATTACCGACTCAACCTTTCATATAGTTAAAAATTAAAATACTGAAAATGTTAACATTAATAACCTCTCTTAATTGATAACTCTAAAAATAGCATCTCTTCATTTTTGTGACAAATGCAATCAAGCTTGTAGAAATGTCTACCTATGCCATATATAGTGGGTAAATTTCAAACATTTCGTAAGTGAATTCTGCATAGCAGTTTAAATATTATGTGTGGTGGTAACTGTAATGGCAGTGCCGCCAATAACAACAATAATGTTAATAGCGGTGGTATTAGTAATGATGGTTGGGACATTATTGTTGCCATTGATGGTGGTAGTAACAATGAAGGTGATAACAACGAGAAGGGTCTTTACCAAAAGGAAAAATATATTTTGACACAGATTTTTCCACAATATTTTAACACAGTACAAGTGTCATTTTCTCACTGTTTCACTATTTATTTGTTATTGTGTTGACGTACTCTGAATCAAATGAGAAAATGACATGTGTGCTGTGTAAAAATGTTGTCAAAAAATCTGTGTTAACATATCATTGCCCATGCCCTCTTTTGTTGTGACATTAACAACTCACACTGCTACCCTAGAATGAATTTTCAACTTTCTTAATTCATTATATTACAGCCTAGGTAACTGCACAACCTACATCTCTTGCAAACACTATCCCAACATTGCAATCAACATAAAATAAAACAAGTGCTCTCAATAATACAGATATAATAAACACCTTTAATCTAAGGAGAAATTGCATGAAATCTACTTAAATGACATTCATACTCCTAGATTTTAATCAGACAATAACCTCTATGATGTTTTTTAAAGTAACACATACCCTTTATTTGATTAATAAAGTGATACATACAACCCTTCTTTGATGCTATGAGAAGGAGAGTATCTTTTTAAAACTAGAGGGGTTAAGAAAGATTTGTGCAACTTTCCCTCAATTCAATAATAATTCTTTAAGAAATGGCCTAGGGTTAAAGAACACTGCCACTAACTTCAATGTTCCCCCTATAGCAAACCACTATTTTTCAACTCTTACCAATACTTCATGTAAATCTTTGAAAGAGTAATATATCTTCAATATTCCAGAAAAAAGTCAATCCACAATTGGTTAGAGGATCCAAAATAACCACAAAAGAGTTCAACATAGATATTTATTCTAAAAAAGTTTAGAGTCAAGAATAATAGAAAGCAACAAATGGTCAAAGTCACTCAGTCATTGAGCCTCCAACAATAGAATATTCACTTCAACCTCCCCACTACTTCTAAACTATGAAAACCTGCTACTGATTTCCATTTCTCTCCACCTATCCATAAGTTTTTATTTTGTAACATGTTTTTCATGTTAGATCACATGCACCAATCTCAAACACTCGGAATCAATTGTTTCCAAATTATTGTCATATAATTATAAATTATAGATAGGATGTTTTGAGTTTTTAAAATTGACCATTTAAAGTTGCAGAAAATTTAATTGCAGAGTGTGGATAAGAGTTCTCATTTACCTCATAAACAGTAAATGCGACCTCAACTGGCCCATTTTTGTACACTTCTGCCATGATGTCATTGGGATTAGAGTTGACCTTGTAGGCATTGACACTAAAGTGCTTTGACTTCTTCCACAGCTGGTTCCCACTTACACACTTTTTAACACACTTGGGAGTCCGATAAGCTGGCTCACATCCAGGATGAGAACAGCCAGTTTGATCAAAATATGGGTCACACTGCCACATAAAAGAATTTGCAGAGCGTAAGAAAGTTTGGAGGAAAAAACAGATATAGGATAAGTTGTGAAATGAGCCTACAGAAAAGGGGATATCCCCCAAGTGGAAACCGTATTACCTCTTCAGTGACAACACCATGGTGGGCTAAGTATCGCCATGCGTAAAGGGGATATCCCCCATCACACCCAGATCCACACAGAAAGCCACAGCATGCGAGAAGGTCATTAACAGAGAGAGAAATATTCTGCAATTAGACATATAGTACATAAGTTCCTCTTTCAAGCAACTAAGTAGGTGTTACCCAGGGACAAAGGGAGAGGGAAAACACTAAAAAATAGTCACGAATAATCACAATAAGCAAAAAAAAATTCAACATTAATAAGAAACTTCACTTACAACATCAAAATGAATGCAAAAGCGATCTGACAATGATTCTACAGCACCAAATGCCCAACAAGAACCACAGTGACCCTGAGTCATCACACCAGCATAAGGATCACTTATAAAGTCTTTGAACCTTGAATGTGTTAAAAGTAGTTAGATTGAGAAAATTGGAGGGTTACCTGATCTTTAATGCGAAAATTGGTTTAGCAATTCAATAGTCAACAACAAAAACAAGAGTCAGCACCTCCTTCCAAATGCACTGTTTAACTAAAATAAATAAAATAAAGGGAAAGGAGGAGCGAGTAGATGGCGACCAAGAATTCTTCCAATAGTGCTACACTGCGACCAGGCTGTCCTTGCATCAAAGTTCACCGGCAACTTCAATGATTTGGGATGAGAAATAACAGGTACACTTCCGAGTACGTTCTTAGGCGTTTGTTTGGCTCCAAGGAGGCGCTTAAATTGTTTAACCTGTAAGTCAAAGGATATTATATAACTAATCATCTGAAAGCAAAACAGTGGAATCCACACTTTAAAAGGGTGCAAGACAAGTTCAAGACTAACTGTATAATTGGAGAAACGAGGATTTATGGCAGCCTCCCATCCTGCCTCAGGATTTTCGTTAACCTGTTGAGCAATAGATTTCTGCATCACAAGGTTAAAAGCAAGATCAATCACATGCAACAGATCGTATGTTCAAATACTCATCCCACATCATCTGAATGAACAGGATGGAGCAAAACTATTAAAGCTCGATCCATCAATGTTTTGCACATGCATATGCTTCAAACACTCCAGTAAACAATACATACAAGCTTAAACAAAACAAAAAACAAAAAATCATCCCCAGCCAAAATTAAATAAATAAAAATATAAGCATAGACACTAACACTGTAAAAAGATTAAGATCACTCGTGACTTTGCCACAATTTCATAAATAAATCGACCCTGGAAATTGGCATAAAGACGTGAAACGAGGGGAGTTAGCGAAACCACCTTAAGAATTGGAGAATTAAGATTGAGCACAGTCAACGACTCAACTTCCGCCCCAGCAATCTGTGAATAACAAAGCGATTTGAGAACTAAACAATAACTAATCATGATTACAGAGATAGGGTTGGAAAAAGTGGTACCTGGAGATAAGAAGCGGAGAGAAGTACGAAGAAGGTTGCTAGGGGGAGCCCAGTTAAAGCCATATTCTGTTGTTGGATGAAACGGAACAGGAAACTGGGAGGAGATTTTTATAGATTAGTTGTACTTTTCTTCCCAGGCACTGCAATTGGGTTGGGTGGGGCCACAGTGACAGATAATCTCCTACTTACCCGCTTGTTTTAGTTTTCGTAGATATTAACCCAACGGAGGCTTGGGATTGGAGACTCCGTTCGGGGTGGTTCAATCCAATGAACGTGGCTTGACACGACAGAGATCACCGCACCCAAGATTCCCAAGACTTCAGATTTTTTTTTCCCTTTTTTCTATTAAAATATGTATAGGTCATGTTCAATCAAGTCTCCCTCGTGGCCTGCGTGCAGCTATAGGATCCATGTAACGTGTTTGACGAAAGTGCATTACGTAAACAAATAAATTATTTTAATGACAACTTTTTCTAATTTCTGAAATTTACAAAAATAGTTTATTTAAAAAAATCGTAAGTTTAAATAGATATTTCAGATATCAAACTTATTTTATAAAGAGTTTATTTTTTCATGAAAAATAAAATAAATCCCAATCAGGTTTTTACAAGAGGATAGTCAAATTATTATATGCGAGAGAATAAATGTGGAGAATAAAAAAATATAAGACTAATATAAGTATCCACGTCACACAATACAAATAAAGAAAAATCAGAGTGTTAGGTATTTGTTTTTAGTTTTCTTTTTCTTTTGTTTATCGGATTTCTCAGTTTTAAAAAGAGAAGGTTTAAACACTCGGTTGGTCCTCTTATTTATATGAGAATCTCAAATGGGTCATCGTTTTTTTTTTTCGGTCTCAATTGGATCATATTTTTTGTAAAAATGAGCAAATTTTACCCTAACCGTTAAATTATTCCAAACGGCGTTAAATTAGGTTGAGCTGTATTTTTTGCATTGATGGCGTGGCATTATGCATTTAATTGAATTTAATTGAATGGATGATGTGTTTTAAAATCATCAAATCTCCGTGGCTACAGTGTTTCTTCTTCCTCCAACCACTGATCACCTTTCATCTTTTTCGCTCCTCCGCCCAAGTTGTTTTCTTCCCACTCCCACCCTCAAACCCTCACTCCCCAGACACACCCTTTCTCCCTCTCAAAAACGCTACCGTCATGTGAGAACAAAAACCCCAATCTGGAACAGAAACCCCAATCTGGAACAGTCAAATGTAATTTGGAACAGCTACCGTCATGCTCTAGGCTGTCAAATGCTCTAGGCTGTCAAATGATGCAGTTTCTATGATGTATCTGTCTTTCTTTCGAATGTAATCCTCTTATTCGTGGCAGTTGGAGCAACCCTTAAAATGAAGAAGATGCCTCCCAGGCGTCGTGCACTCTTCTACTCAATCCATGCTTTTGTCCAAAAATAATGAAAACACCCGTGAAGCCCCCAAGTGGCGGCTGGACCCTTCTCTTTCAATTACCCCTTTCTTTCCCTAATCCTTGCTGGACTGCTCACTCATCACCTCGTCCGTGGGCTCTTCATAAATGGAGAAATGAATTGTTTTTTTCCTGGCGTCTGCTGCGTGCTCGTTTTTTTCCAGGCAAAAGCCCCTTTTTTTCTTTTTGAAGCTACCCTCCATTGCTGCTGCCTTGGACCAAGACCGTGACACTTGTTGTCCGCGTGGGTTGACGCTGCTGCTGGGTGCGTGAAGATAGCTGGATGTCACCTCAAGTTTAGTCCAAGCACCTCAGTGAGGGTTTGAAGGTAGGAGTGGAAACGAAGCAGCTTGGGCAGAGGAACGGAAGAGGTGAAAGGTGATAAGTGGTTGGAGGAAGAAGAAGCATTGTAGCCACGGAGATTTAATGATTTTAAAACACATCACTCATTCAATTAAATGCATAATGCCACGCCATCAATGCAAAAAATACAGCTCAACCTAATTTAACGTCGTTTGGAACAATTTAATGGTTAGGGTAAAATTTGCTCATTTTTACAAAAAATATGACCCAATTGAGACCGAAAAAAAAAACGATGACCCATTTGAGATTTCCATATAAATAAGAGGACCAACCGAGGGTTTAAAACAAGAGTGCTTCATCCTACACCTCCAACATCTCATCCTGCACCTCCAAAAATTTCATTTTTAACCTTCTGACATCCTGCACCTCTAATTTTTAACTTTTTTTCTCTTTCTTATTAAAGATATTTTAATAACTATCTTTTTATTTTCTTCTCTTTTTTATTAAAGACACTCTACACCACCTTAAAATTAATTCTAATTTAATTTAAAATTTAAATATTATTTAATATAATTTTATATTTTAATAAGGTTTAATAGCCAATTTAGTCCTCGCTTTGGTTGAAAAATCTCAATTTAGTCCCTCGTTATAAAAGTGTTTTGAATTAGTCCTAACTTTTAAAATAGTGGGTCAGATTGGTCCTTTCTGTTAAATATAAGTTAACAAAATTAATGGATGATGATGTGACACAACTTAAAGCTAACGAGGGACCAATCTAACACATCAGCTTTAAGCTGTGTCACATCATCATCCATTAATTTCGTTAACTTATATTTAACGAAAGGGACCAATCTGACCCACTATTTTAAAAGTTAGGACTAATGTAAAACACTTTTATAACGAGGGACTAAATTGAGATTTTTCAACCAAAGTGGG